GCAAGGAGGGGGTTGGAAATTCAGTGAGTCAAAGGGTCGGCTGTGGCACAGCTGTTAAGACTGCACTGGGGGGGCCGGTGCTGTGGTGCAGGGGATAAAAGCCCTGGCCTGAAGTGCCGGCTTCCCATATTGGCGCCTGTTCTTGTCCCGGCTGCTCCTCTTCTGATCTAGCTCTCTGCTGTGGCGTGGGAAAGCAGTGGAGGATGACCCAAGTCCTTGGGCCCCTGCACCCACGTGCAATACCCGGAAGAAGCTCCTGGCTCCTGGCTTCTGATAGGCACAGCTCTGGCCGTTGCGGCCACCTGGGAGTGAACCAGCAGGTGGAAGACCTCTCTCTGTCTCCATCTCTCTCTCTAACTCTGTCTTTCAAAAAAATAAAATAAATCTTGAGACAAAAAAATCCTCAGTGTGGACCCTGCACCCCGTGTCAGAGCCGTCCGAGCGCCAGCTCAGCTTCCAATCCGCTCCGGCCACTCTGCGTGGGTGATGGCACAGCCCTGGGCTCCTGCCCCCACACGGAGGCTGGATTCATTGCTGCTTCCTGGTTAGGCGGGGCCCAGCCCTGGATGTGGGCAGGGAGTCAGCGGACGGCAGACGTCTGTCTGTCTGTGTGTCTGTCTGTGTGCCTTTCAGATGAATAAAGAGGCAGCAGGAACGAGAAAGTGCTGCGCCAGAAGCAAGCAGCAGAGGCAGAGGAGCTCCCAGGGCGCAGGAGGCCCCGCGGCACTGCCTGGGCAGGGAGAGTCCAGAGTCCCCGCCTGTGTGGCTGCGCAGCCTCCTGGGCGCCCGGCAGGGTCTGCACGGGAGGGTCCTCGCCTGCTTCCCTCCTGAGCTGCTGCCGAGACCTGAGGGCCTGGAGGGTCCGTTCCGTGCTGTCCTCGAGGTCTCCCTCGGCCCCGGGGTCTCAGTTCAAGTAGCTGAAAGTCAAACAGAACACAGTTCATGGGTGCAGGACCGGGGGTTCAGGGGTGCTCTATCCATCCTCACACAGCCTGGGGTCCCGGCAGCCACAGGAGCACAGGGGGACAAGCGCTGTCGGACTAGGAGCACCCGCCGGGTGCTGTCACCCCCGCCAGCGCCTGGTCTGGACCCAGGATTTCCTGCTGTGTGCCGGGTCTGTACCACATCCTGAACCCGGGTGGCTCTGCTGAGAGAAATGTGTCGTGTCCCCGTGCAGGAGGGGACAGGCCTGCAGTCAGGGGGCAGAAGGCCTGCTCACCGGATCGGGGACCACGACTGTCACACCATTGCCAGCTCCGCTTCTACACCCCTGCCTCCTCCTCTCCTGTGTGAGGTGTCCTCCCCTCTCTGAGAAGGACACTGAGTGACACGACGGCCACCAGGTTACCCAGGTAACCACATCTCAACCTTTAAACCTGGGACCGGCCTGTGGCTTAGGGGACACTGTCACCACCCACAAGGCTGGCACCCACGTGGCGATGGTTGCAGTCCAGGCTGCTCCAGTTCCTACCCAGCTCCCTGCTCATGCGCCTGGGAATCCCACTGGAAGATGCCCAAGTCCATGGGCCCCCATCGGCCACACAGCAGGCCCCGATGAAGGTCCAGGCCCTGGCTTCTGCCTGGCCCAGCCCTGTGCATTGTGGCCATCTGGGGATTGAACTGGCAGAAGGCAGATCTCTCTCTCGGAGCCTCTCTCTGTAACTCTGACTTTTACAATAAATACATCATTTATTAAAAAAAAACTATATAACTATATTTCATAAGATCCTTTCTCAATATAAGTTAACATTCTCTCCTTTGCGCTAAAGCATTGTTCACAGACACTGGGGTTCCACGTGGACCCGGGTTCTGGTGGGGCCAACCTGGGCTGCTCCCACCCCCGGAACGCCCACTTCTGTCCCACAGGCAAAACCCTTCACCCCGCCCCCAGAACCTTCCCCTGTCAGCCATGGCGGCCCTGACTCTGACCTCACCCCGCACCTGCCCCAGGCCGTGGTCTAAATCCTCTGCCCTCGCCCAGGTGGGACTCTGGACGTCACCGCCTGGAGCCGTCACTCCCCCGTGAGTCTGGAACCAGAAGCTGAGTTCCTGCGTGCAAGCGCACGGCAGGAGGGCGCAAGGGCGTCCTCCCTGGGGAGAGCTCGGGGAGCCAGGGGGCAGCCAGGCCCCGAGGGCTCCACGCAGCCGGGCGCTCCCGCAGCCACACCCTGGGGGCCTCGGAGGCCCCGCGCCCAGCTCAGCACCATCTCTCCCTCCTGCCCTGAAGCTGGCGGCCACGGATGTGGGTCTGGGCCAGGTCCTGCCTGTAGCGTCTCCCAGGCCATCCTGTCTCTGGTCCTCCCGTCCAAGCCACGGGGGTGCCCTGATGGTCTGACCGGGGTGCCCGGGCTCTAATAACGGCCTTTCTGTCCCGGTCTCCTGGCCAAGCCTGTCGCGTCCACGTATGCACCGACCCTGCCTTGAGGCCACGTGGGCTTTTTCTGTAAAGACCTCCCAGGCCTCCAGCCTCGCCGTCTGCCTCCGTGCGAGGCCACGGCCACGAGTTGCAGGAGCTTTGCTCAGGGACCGGCGCAGGGGAGTTGGGGGCTGCCCCTCCTCCGGCTGCCTTGGCCATGACCGCGGCGTGGTGGCGGGTGTCCCGGAAGTGCACGGCTGAGTCCTGCAGCCCGGGTGTCTCCAGCTGGGACAGCCGCGCCGCCCTCCTCGGAGCTGCAGGGCAGAGCTGGTGCTTCGCCTCCGTCCACCGCGGTGGCCCCGCTCTGCAGCGCCCTGGCCGAGGCCCTCCTGCAGCTCTGCCCGTGCCTCTGCCCCTTTTCAGGACTCCCGGGATGCCCTGTGCGGGTCCCCTGGACACCGTCCCCTCCTGCTGACGCGTGCGGGCGCCTTGCCCAGAACAAGCTCACACGCATAGCTCAGCCAGGCCCGGCCCCGCGGCCGAGTCAGGACTGGGAGTGGGTGGTGCTCGGGGCCACCGCCAGCCCTCCCAGTGCTCACGGCTACACGGGCAGTCTTCACCCTGCAGCCTTGGTGGCGCCGTGATGAACCTGCCCATGTGGTCTACACGCTGCTCCCAGAATCCCTCACGCATGCACACAGGGTCTCTTCATGCCGTTTCCATGAAAGCGTTTTGTGTGCGTGGTGTGCACACCATGGGGCATGTGACGGTGTGTGCACTTGGGTGTGTATATGGTGTGTATGCCTGTGTGTGAAGGGTGCAGAGTGGGTGTGTGGTCATGTACGTATGTGGAGTGGGTGTGGCGTGTGCACCGTGTGCATGTGTATGGTGTGCGCACTCTCGCATGTGGAGTGTGTGAGGATGTAATGTGGAGACTGTGTGTGAGCTCTGTGTGTCTCTGTACAGCGCATGTGCCAATACTGTGTGTCGTGTGTGCAGTGTGTGCTCCATGTGTGTGTGGCATGTATGCTGTGTGATGTACTGTGTACTGACGGATGCACACAGGAAGTGCATAGCATGTGTTCAGTGTGCGTATGGTGTGTGTGTGCCGTGTGTGTACAGTGTATGATGTGTGTGCTGTGTGTATACAATGTGTGTACAGTGTGTGTATACTGTGTGTACTGTGTGTGTACAGTGTGTGTATACTGTGTGTACAGTGTGTGTATAATGTGATTGTAGTGTGTGTATAGTGTGTGTATATTGAGTGTACTCTGTGTATAGTGTGTGTATAATGTGTGTATACAGTGTGTGTATAATGTGTGTGTACTGTGTGCATACAGTGTGGGTATAATGTTGTGCGCCAGGTGTCTCCCCTATTTCCCTTGGTCCCATAGAGACCTGGAAAATCCTCCACCTTTTGTTCAATTTTGCTTTTTTAGAAAGATTTATTTTATTGATTTCAAAGACAGAGTTACAGAGAGAGGTAGAGGGAGGGAGTGAGGGCGAGAGAGAGAGAGCGAGAGATCTTCTATTGTCTGGTTCACTCCCCAGATGGCCGCAATGGCCGGTGGTGCGCCGAGCCAAAGCCAGGAGCCAGGAGCTTCCTACGGGTTCTCGCACACAGGTGCAGGGGCCCCAGGATTGGGCATCTTCCACTGCTTTCCCACAGCACAAAGGGAGCTGGATTCGAAGAGGAGCAGCCAGTGGTCGAAACGGTGCCTATCTGGGATGCCGGCGCTTCAGACCAGGGCTTTAACCCACTGCGCCACAAGCCCCGCCCCACCTGATTTTATATTTTCTCAGTGCCGTCGGCTGATGATCTAATGGCTGCAAAGGGATCCATGACGCTGGGCCGTGTCACCTCCACCCACACGGAGCTCCAGGGCCGTCTCACCTCCACCCACACGGAGCTCCCAGGCAGCTTTCTCAACCCTTAGCGCATCTCTCCCTTGTGAGGTGCCCAGCATCTCCCGTGGCCACGACCAACGATGCCCACGTCCCTGCATCACGTCCTGCTCCTCACCCTCACGTCGCTCCCCTGCTCGAAGCTCCCAGGCCTCCGGGGTGCATCTGGGCCTTCCCTCTGCTCAGCCCAAGCCCCGGGCTCAGCACCCAGGGAGCGTCTCTGTTCCCAGGAGGAGCTGCTGCCCGCTCCCTGCCTCTCCAGCCCCGCCCCCGCCCTGGCCCTGCTCCTGTGTCGCTCTGTGACCTGGGTGTGCAGGATCCCTCAGGCCTGGGATCCCGAGGCAGAGAGTGTGGGTCCAGCCGGCCCAGCCCCCACCAGCTGGCCGTGTGGCAGGAGCCCAGGTGCTGGTGCAGGCGCTGACGGGCAGAGGAGGCACTGGGGTGAGCGAGGACAGGAGCCTCGGGGGCAGGGGGAGGCACAGAGGCTCGGGGACTCCAGGACTCAGAGGACAATGAGACCAGCGCGTGACAGCAGCAGTGTGGGGAGCGAGTTTCCTGAAGGACTGCGGGGTGCAGCTCGCATTCCACAGACGGAGTGAGAGAGCACAGAGATACCGGGACATGGGCCCCCATCCCCGCGGGCTTCTTAATGAACTCCCAGTATCCTGAGCCCGGGTGGGTTCTTGCCTAATGTCCACAGAAGAATTCTGAGCGCTGGCAGAAACGAACACGGCACGTGGCAGGTGTTTCAGCTTTTATTCCGTGGAGAAATGCACAGGAGAGGGAGGGCCCTGCTCAGAGGGGGGAATTCTGGATTCACCGGGCACCAGGAGCCTCGTGGAGGAGCGCAGGCCAGGAAGCGTGGGCGGGTGGGCCGAATGCCCGGCACCCGGGAGGCCCAGGGCAGCCAGCGCCTGCAATGGCAAAGGAGAAAAAAAAAAAAAAGCTGGGTCCACCATGTTCCAGGCCTTTATACTTTAATCCACTTCCAGAGGGGAGAGGTTCATTAGCCTGATGGGCAGGTGGGCACACAGGTTGTCAGGTCAGGGCCTGGGGTCACACAGTAGGGTGAAGGCCTGGTCTTCCAGCTCACAAACCTCATCAATTCTATCCCATATGGCTGCCTACAACAACAGGACTCAGAATTGGTCACAGGGGTGCACTACACCTGGCCTGTTCCTGTGGCCAAGGAGGCTTATATAACAGGAGCACCCCTAGCTGGGTGGTGGGGGAGGCACCGTCTGCACCTGTCCAGGACTTCCCTGGTGTCGGGGTGCAGGGGGAACCCCAGGGAGGCTGCCTTCAGGGTGGGGCCCTGAGAGGCCATGGAGTTGATGAGAGGCATCGCTCACTGAGAACAGGAGAGGCCACGAGTCCACTGTGAGAGCCCTGGATGCCCCTCGGTCGGGAGACTCTGCTGCCCTCAGCTGGGGCCTGAAGACTCGGGGGGAGGGGCTCAGGAGTGGGGACGCAGCTCCTGTCAGTGTGGGGAGTGAGGTCGCAGGGCTGATCCGATCTCAGTGCCAGCTCCTCCCATCTGCACTGGAGCCACGGGGCTCCGACCACGGCACTGGGGGCAGCAGGGCTGGCGGCAGCCGGACTAGGAGCAGCCACAGCTGGAGCAGGAGCAGGCGGGCACACAGCAGCACACGGGCTTGCAGCAGCACACGGGCACACAGCAGCTGGAGCCACAGCTGCCCTGGCTGCCCCCACAGGAGCCACAGCTGCCCTGGCTGCCCCCACAGGAGCCACAGCCCCCACAGGAGCCACAGCTGGAGGAGCAGGCGGGCACACAGCAGCACACGGGCTTGCAGCAGCACACGGGCACACAGCAGCTGGACTGGGAGCAGCAGGGTTTGCAGCAGCTGGACTTGCAGCAGCTGGACTGGGAGCAGCAGGGTTTGCAGCAGCTGGACTTGCAGCAGCTGGACTGGGAGCAGCAGGGTTTGCAACAGCTGGACTGGCAACAGCTGGACTGGGAGCAGCAGGGTTTGCAGCAGCTGGACTGGCAGCAGCTGGACTGGGAGCAGCAGGGTTTGCAGCAGCTGGACTGGCAGCAGGCACTGGAGCCACAGCTGGAGGAGCAGGCGGGCACACAGCAGCACACGGGCTTGCAGCAGCACACGGGCACACAGCAGCTGGAGCCCCAGCCCCCACAGCTGGAGCCGCAGCCCCCGGAACAGCCAGAGCAGCCCATGGTTCTGGAGGTGGAGGGGAGTGGTCGGAGGAGCAGGTGCAGAGGGAGGTGTCTGTGTGGTGCCTCCCCCTGCTGGGCCCTTTATATGCCTGCCCCTTGCTCCTGAGAGGCACAGGCCCCCTTCCTGGTGTCTATTTTTGTATGTTCCCCAGGGAATTGCGTGTCATTTAAAATAACAAAAACACTGCGTTACCTTGTGTCATTCTTCCTATTAAACATTGTTTCCCTCCCTAAGGCATCATGGTGCAGCCCCTCCCAGCTGTGGGGTCCTGGTGAGTGCACAGCCCCTAGGTTTTACATTTTTTTTAAAAAAAGGATTCCTTTATTTGAAAGAGAGAGTGGAGGGAGGGAGAGAGACCCATCAATCTTCCACCTGCTGGTTCACTCCCCAGGTGGCCTCAACACCAGGCCTAGGCCAGGCAAATGCAGGACTCAGAACTCCCTCAGGGTTTGCCGTGTGGGAGGCAGGGCCCCAAGGCTGCTTCCCAGGGCCATGAGCAGGGAGTGGGTGGGGCGGGGTGGGGCTCTGTCTCTGGCACTCTGACCTGGACCAGGAGTCCCGGGTGGCTGCTCTGCACCCTGCGCCTCAGGCCGGCCCCTCCCCGGGTGTACGTGAATTCTGAGCGCTCAGCGTCTCTCAGGCTAAAGTTCCAGTGAGGTGACCAGGGCGACGTCCCTGTGATGTGGACGCTGGGTCAGAGAGGACCCTGGGCTGGCGGGGGATGGGGACGGCCTGTGAGGTGGGGGCTGGCCAAGGGGGAATGGGGCTGGCTGAGGGAGGGTGGGGAAGGCTGGAGGGGGATGGGGTTGGCCCATGGGTGGGGGCGGCCTGAGGGTCCCAGGATCCCTTTGCCCCGAGGCTGGGCTCGGTGATGGCCTCAAGACCCTGTGAATTTAAAATAAGACTGGGAGACTGAAGCTTCAGAAGGGGGCTAGAATCCAGCCGCGGAGGGTGGAGGAGGGCAGCGCTGGGCCGGGAGACGGGGGAGGGCGGGGGAGGCTCAGCCCCGCTGGTCCTCCTGAGACCCGGGCCGGAAGGGGAGGCCGCAGGGGAGGGCGACGTCGCTCGGGCCGGGCTCCTGGTGGTCACCTCCGTGTTCCACGCCACCGCCCAGCAGCAAACAGCAAGGAAAACACAGACCCAGGCCCCGTGAGCCAGGGCGCACTGGGTCACATCACAGAGTTGTGTGTCCACGAGAGAACCCTAGAAGCTTCCAGAGAGAACGGCAGAGGCCGTGCGCAAGAACAGCCGTGCGCGGGCATCGGCTTGCTCGGGGTCGGCGGTGCCAACAGCCGGAAGAAAGCAGAAGGATCATCCGGTCTGGGAAACCCGCCCAGCGCAGAGCCACGGCCCAGGGGAGGGTCTTCAGGTTCCGTGGGCACTGAGATGCTCTACTCTACCCGATGTCTAAAGGGGGCACCCGCCGGCCCCTCCCTCAGGAAGTCACTAAGGATGCGTTCCCCACAGACAAGGGATCCGCAAAACACAGCAGGGCGACCCGCTGACCGCTGTGGACGTGGACAGGGCTCCGTGGATCTGGGGGGGGCAGACTGGAGGAGTGGGCCGAGGACACACAGAGAGCTCTCCAAGGGAGAAGCGGGTGAGGGGCACCTGCCCGAGCGGGGACTGACACTGGGGCTGGCTACGAGGTGGGTCAGGAGGAGCTCCAGGGTCTGTGCCGGGGGGTGGGCGGCGTGGGGGTCGGCAGGCGGGATAAGCAAACCCAGGGCCTCCCCTGGTGATGCCCGGATCCCAGATGGGGCGAGGGCAGAGAGCCATCACTCTCCACACGATGGCTGACAGAAGGGGAGAGCTGAGAGGGACTCGCGGCTGTGCCGCTGAAGTACAGGCAGGGCAGGGCAGGGCAGGGCAGGGCAGGGCTGGGGTGGGGGCGGCAGCGGTGGCGGCTTGGGCCAGCGCGTTCTGCGGCTGTGCTCACTGACTGTTCCTGGCAGGACGCAGGTGCAGGGGAGGGGGAGCAGGGAGCCAGGGAACATGGCAGAGGGCCTGCAGGGGGCTAGGATTGGGGAGCTGGGTCCACGAGACACCCCAACACCTCCCAGACTCACAAGAATGTCCCCATAGCAGCCGAGCACAGAGCAGACAGACAGGCAGGCAGACGGAGAGAACACTCGGGAGTTAGCACCGAGCCGGCCCTGGCTGAACAGCAGCCGACGCTGCACCTGTCCAGGGAGCAGAGACCACAGCAGAGGGGCAATCATGCTACAGGCATAGCCTCTATTTTTAAGTAGAGGACACACAGAACGTGCCAAGAACGTGACGTAAACACACACGAGGAAGTGGCAGGTGCCAGGGCCAGGAGCCGGCTGGGAAATAAAAGCTCCGGGAGAGCAGCCTCCACAGACCCCTCCCTCCTCACCTGCTCCTCCGACCACTCCTCCTCCACCTGCACTCACCTCCAGAACCATGGGCTGCTCTGGCTGTTCCGGGGGCTGCGGCTCCAGCTGTGGGGGCTGCGGCTCCAGCTGCTGTGTGCCCGTGTGCTGCTGCAAGCCCGTGTGCTGCTGTGTGCCCTCCTGCTCCTCCAGCTGTGGCTCCAGTGCCTGCTGCCAGTCCAGCTGCTGCAAACCCTGCTGCTCGCAGTCCAGCTGTGGCCAGTCCAGCTGTTGCAAGCCCTGCTGCTCCCAGTCCAGCTGCTCCCAGTCCAGCTGTTGCAAACCCTGCTGCTCCCAGTCCAGCTGTTGCCAGTCCAGCTGTTGCAAACCGTGCTGCTCCCAGTCCAGCTGCTGCAAGTCCAGCTGCTGCAAACCCTGCTACTCCCAGTCCAGCTGTGGCCAGTCCTGCTGTTGCAAACCCTGCTGCTCCCAGTCCAGCTGCTGTGTGCCCGTGTGTTGCTGCAAGCCCGTGTGCTGCTGTGTGCCCGCCTGCTCCTCCAGCTGTGGCTCCTGTGGGGGCTGTGGCTCCTGTGGGGGCAGCCAGGCCAGCTGTGGCTCCTGTGGGGGCAGCCAGGGCAGCTGTGGCTCCAGCTGCTGTGTGCCCGTGTGCTGCTGCAAGCCCGTGTGCTGCTGTGTGCCCGCCTGCTCCTGCTCCAGCTGTGGCTGCTCCTAGTCCGGCTGCCGCCAGCCCTGCTGCCCCCAGTGCCGTGGTCGGAGCCCCGTGGCTCCAGGGCAGATGGGAGGAGCTGGCACTGAGCTCAGATCAGCCCTGCGACCTCACTCCCCACACTGACAGGAGCTGCGTCCCCACCCCTGAGCCCCTCCCCCCGGGTCTTCAGGCCCCAGCTGAGGACAGAGGAGTCTCCTGACCGAGGAGCATCCAGGGCTCTCAGCGTGGACTCGCGGCCTCTCCTGTTCTCAGTGAGCGATGCCTCTCATCAACTCCACGGCCTCTCAGGTCCCCACCCTGAAGGCAGCCTCCATGTGGTTCCCCCTGCACCACAACACCCAGGGAAGTCCTGGTCCTGTGGCAGTCAGTGCTGCCCCAGCCTGGGATACTTCTGTAGCCTGAAGTCACCTTGGAACAGGAACAGGCCAGGTCTAGGGCTGCCCCTTGCCCAGTAGGGACCTGTGCTCTCTGATGCTGTCTGTTGAACACGAGCTGTCCCCCAGGGTCCTTCAATAAACTCGCTCCCCACACTGCTGCTGTCACACGCTGGTCTCATTTTCCTCTGAGTCCTGGAGTCCCCGAGCCTCTGTGCCTCCCTCTGCCCCCGAGGCTCCTGTCCTCGCTCACCCCAGTGCCTCCTCTGCCCGTCA